GCCACTGTCACCCCTGGTCCTGAGGGGTTCATCTGTCCTAGATTCCTTGCATTTCCAATGTTTTTACGTTTTATGGTGCTGTGGAAGAAAGTTTATTTGGGAACTTCGTTTTCCCAATCCATTGTTCATACGTAAATTATTCCAACACATTAGTTGGCAATCCTACAATAGGTCAACACTCTTGCTGTTTCCTTCCTAGATCCCTGTTTCCATTTGTCTGGTGTGTCTGCCTCTCCTGTCTTCTCATATTTGGTTTGGGGCAAATACTGCTCTGTTGGTGTGGTATAGTTGATTGTTCTAAGGAAACCATTTATCATTCTGTTTGTTTTATAGTCTTGTTAGAGTGTGCAGTCTTGTAGGGAGGTAACCATAAATAAGTATATTGTTTTGTCAAATAATAAAAAATACTATTAAAAAACAAAACAGGATGAAGAAAGAGTGAAAAAGAGTTAGAATGCCCTTTCTGAGAAGTTGACTTAGAATAGTTTTTCAACTCCTTAAATGAAGTGAGAGAACAGGTTAAGCACTTTAATTAAATGAGAGCTATATTTAAGCACAGAGCTAGGTGAAAAGCTTTCCAGAAATACGGAAACATAAATGTGAAAACTCTGAGGCAAAAGAAGTGACGAGCTGTTTGTGATAGATTTTCTACCAACTTGGTTGGGCCAGAATTCTCCCACGGTGGGATCTTGTGTGAACAACCCAGCATTCTTCTTGTGGGCAGAATAAGGTAGAGTGCTACCTCCTTAGTCAGGACACAGCCTTGATAAAATTGAAAGGATATTTCATCAGGGTGTGGTCTTTTATATCAGTTGACACTGTAGGGAAGCCAGCTCACTTCTTGGTGGTCCAGATCCTGCATGTGCTTCATCAACTCTCTGACCTTCAAAGCTACCAGCAGCCTGCCATATTGCTTGAGAACCTTGGCTTCATTCAGTCCTGCAACCACCCGCCTGACTTGCTGATACTGGAGTCCCCCATCTCTGCCACACCATCCTCCGGCCTTCCTGCCCCTTGGTGTGTTGGCCCCTAAAGCTACATGAGTCAGGAAAGACCTCCAGATTAACATCTGACCCACAAACTTGAACCAGATTGAATTTTACCACTTCTACAACAAAGTGCGCTACTCTCTTGATATAAAATTTGTATAAAATCACTGGTCATTCTTCTCTAGAGAACCAGCCTAACACGTGGTTTTATTTGCGTAGTGAAGAAAGCCTGCTTAAAAGTAGAGTCTGGGAAGAGAGGAAATAGAGACCACTTATATAGATATTTATTTTTAATTCAGTCATGGAGTAGAGAAATGAGGATGGCAAAAAGCGTAGGGCGGTGTTTCTATTTGTTTGATATGTTTTTGATGAAGGGACATTTCAATAGACTTTTATATGCTTAGGCTTGCATGTTAGTATCCTCCTGAATTTTTTCATTAGTTAGGTTTCTTTCTCAAGCTGCATTTTCTCCTAGAACACTTTTATTAATTCCAACAGTTTGAAATCCTTACATGTGCAACTGTTACTCAATTCCTTACCTCTTTCCTAGGCTTTTTTTGAGAGCCTACTGGACATTTTTACCCAGTTATTTCATAAGCTCTTTAAAATTAACATCTAAACTGAATGACACCACTCAGTTATTACAGCAGTTACTATTTTACTTAGCCTACTTTGCATTGACATAGCTTGGGCTCCAATCATCTTTGCATGAGCTAGAACAAAGGCTTCTTCATGGTCTTCCAGCCCTAATATATCCTCCACATGACTGAAGAGGAATTTTTTAAAACACACCCAAAAGTAGTACTATAATTTTCCTTCTTATCATGTGGCAGGATTGTAATCTTTCACTGTATGTATATTTATATGCTGAATAAATAATCCTAGAAGCTATATGATATGAAGAGGGTATAACATCAGGGTTAGACAAAGACTTATTAACAGTTTGTCATATGCAGATGACACAACCTTGCTTTGCCAACAGTGAAGGCAATTTGAAGCTGATGAAGATCAAAGACTAAATACAGCATTTAGAATGGGTAACCCCTAAATGTTATATGGAGAAAATGTTGAAGTCATTAACGATGCCATTCTAATTGGATCAACACTCAGTGCTTATGGGAGCCTCAGTTAAAAAATCAAATGACATAGTGCATAGGGGAAATCTGGTACAAATGACCTCTTTAAATTTTTAAAAAGCAAAGATGTCACTTTGGTGGATAAGGTACACACAACCCAACCTGTCATCTTTGTAATCATCTTTGTAATCTATTGAAATGTCCCTTCATCAAAAACATATCAATCATGTGTAAATGGAAAAGGAAGATGGCAGGCTTGATTCATTAGAATTTTGATACTGATTAAGAATTAGTCTATACTACAGATGTCAGAAGAAAAAGCAAATCGTTTTAAGAAATAGGATACTCCTTAGAAGCCAGGATGTTAGACTTTGTCTTACTTGGGTTGCACATGTCATCAAAAAGACATAAAGTACTTCATGTGTGGTAGAGGGTCAGTAAAAGCACGAGAAGCCCTCGGTGAAGTGCACGGACACAGTGGCGCAGCAGGCGACTCCAGCATCACAGTAAACACGCGGATGGTGCAGCACCGGGCAAAGTTTATTGCTGTGACATTCGCCACGAGCTTGACAGCAGCGAACCACCTGTGGAAGAAGCACATTGTCATATACAAAGCCTTTACAGTGTATTCTGAATCTATTCCTTTTCTACAGCACATTATAGTCCTCCATATTTGTTCTGTCCTTATGCCCTTGCTGTATCTGTCTGCACTGTCCTCCCCCATAGTGTGCTTTGCAAACTATCTTCCTTTCCCTTAAGCCCTCTTTAGCCTTACTCATTGGCCCTCCCTCCTCAAGACAAGTAACAGTTCATTTCTGAGTAAGTATAACCTTACCATCACACTATACTGTAATGTGCTCCTTGTGGGCTTAGACTGAGTCTTAAAGTATAGGCAGGCAAACATTGTCAGTCCAGTTTGGAGTGAATCAGGAGTGAGTCCAGAAAGGACAAGGATAGATATTCTCTTAAAACATGCTCAGTTCTGAATTACAAACACTTTAATTATATCGGCTAATGACATTATTTGTACTTTTGAGATTAGTGAAGAAATAAATGGTGTAGAAAATATTTTTAGAATATCATATTTCTACAGTAAATAATAATTTATGAATTGGGCTGAAATCCTCAAGATCTTTAGTCTGAAACCACCAGCAGCTCCACGGGAGAAAGACAACTTTGTGCTCCCATAAACAGTTACAGTCTCGGAAATCCACAGTGGGTCGCTGTGAGTCAGCATTGACTCCATGGCAGCGAGTAGTATATAGGTTAGGACGGCTGAATTTGAAAATTTTAAGTTATTATTGAAAATTACAAATGTGTTGAAGTCCTGGAAAAGTTCTCTAATTAATACGATGAATCTCATTCTAAGCTATCATTTAAAACCAGGATTTCAAACTAGTCCTTCCTGGTTCAGTATGACTTATGAAATGAACTCAGAAATAACCTGAATTTGTAAAATGTGGATGAACCATAATGATAAACAAAAACCTCCCTGCCATCAAGTTGATTTTGACTCATAGTGACCCTGTAGGACAAGGTAGAACTGCCCTTGTGGGTTCTGAGACTAAAGGACCGCTGGTAATTGTGAAGTACTGAGCGTGCAGTTGGCAGCCCGTGTAATCAGTGCACATCAGGAGTCCACGTGTTGCACAGAACCAGATCTTAGCAGCACAGTAAGAAACGTGTTGCCACACCACGTTGAGTATGTGTTACTCTCCACGGTCCTGGAAGTCATCCCATCTCTGGCATCACACTCAGCCTTTCCCAAGTTTCCCATTCGAGGACTTTTACCTGTAATTTTTTTCAATCATGGCTGTCATTCTGTTTCACCTAAATTTTTAAAATCTAGGTTTATTCCAGTTTCACTTTGTTGGCCATGGACTGAACTAGTTCAAAGCCCTGTTTGAGAGAGGATTCTGTTGGTAACTGAAATGATTACATGTTCAACGAGTCTCAAGGGTGTTCGAACCCACCCAGAGGTGCCTTGGAAGACAGTTTGCATCCAAAAAGTCAGTCTTAAGAAAACCAGAAACAGTTATACTCTGCCCATTTGAGGTACTATGAGTAGGAATTGACTCATAACAACTAAAAAAGTTGTATGGATTGTGATAAAAGAGCTGTAAGAGCCCACAATAAAATGATTTTTTAACTAAAACAAATATAGTTATTTTTTGTTTTCCTTTCCAGATTCTAACTCAAATGAAGCAGATAACCAGTCAGAGTGGACAAATGTTCAGAAGAAGATTATCCCATGGAAAAATAATGTTCCCGATTTAGAGTTTCAGGATCGTGCTGCCAAGCTGGGAAAGTCAATTGGCAGACTGATTGTAGTGGGTTCACTCATTGATAAACCAACTAATTTAGGAGGTAAAATTACAGTTTTCCAAGGAACTGCTTAATATCATTTGATTCTGAAATTTTCAATCCATTGACATTTTTGGCTTTGCCCCTGACATCTGTGGGGTATGCAAAAGAATTTAAAGTATACTGAAGTTAACATATATTGGAGACAATCTTATTTTCCATTTTGTGTAGGACTATGCCGAACCTGTGAGATATTTGGAGCCTCGGTACTTGTGGTTGGCAATCTTCATTGTACCAATGATAAACAGTTTCAGCACCTCAGTGTTTCAGCAGAAGAATGGCTTCCTTTAGTGGAGGTAGCTTGAAAGTATTTTATTTTATACAGTTCTACTTATATTATTAAAATGTTTGTCCTATCTTCATTTATTAATCATTTTCCATTGATTCATAGTAGATGCTTAAAGGTAATAGTTAATACAATATAGCCAAAATTTGTTACTCAATTTTATTATTTTTTACATTTTTATACCTTTAGATGTCTTCAGTGATTTAAGATTTGCTTTTTTTCAGATGTCTTGTTGAGGCTCATTCTTGATTTAGAAATAATAGTTATAAATATATTTGATGTTGGTTGCCCTCACTTTGATAGTGTACAATTCTTTTCTCTTTGAAAAACTTTTTTTATTAATAGACTTAACCTCTGATTTTACTCTAAACATTAACTAAGAATGACTTAACATTCTTCTCTTTTTTAACTAATGTGAAGGTGAAACCACCCCAGCTAATGGATTATCTACAGAAGAAAAAAGCAGAAGGCTATACCATCATTGGTGTGGAACAAACTGCCAAAAGTTTAGACCTAACTGAGTACTGCTTTCCTGAGAAATCTCTCCTCTTGTTGGGGTAAGAAAATTTATTTTGAGTAGTTTATAGTCTAGAAAAAAATGCCTATTTCACAAATTACCTGATAGTAGATATGTGCTTTACCTGTGTAATTTATGTTCCATGGATACGTTACATTTATGCAAGTCTTCCTAATGTTTAATTTCACCTATCTCAGATGGCTATTTGAACTTAATATTGAGCCATACATATGCTTCTTACAGTCTTACTTATTTCTTAGTACCACAGGCTTAAATTTTTTTCAATGTTTTTGCAGAACTTTATTATTTATTAATTAAAATAGTTATAACAAAAAACATTTTTCACAAGCCCAGCTTTTGAACTTTTTAATGCACTCTGATCAGAGCTGCCCCCACCCCCACCCCCCAAAAAAAAGTGTTGGGTTTTTTGAGTTGTTTTTGGAAGGAAGAAGGGGAGAGAATTGTGGAACTTGACAAGAAAAAGATATGCCCACTGACCTCATGGGCCATTCTGATAGTGGACACCAGGGGCACTGCTCCCCAGCCTTCAAAACCAAGGCCTCTGCTGGATGCTCTGCTGGTCAATACAGTCTTTTATTGTTCTTTAAAAAAAAAAGGTTTTATTGACATACACTTCATTTATCATAAAATTTAATTGTTCAATCATATTAAGAAGATTTTTGCAATTAGACCACAACCCGTTTCAGAACACTTGCTTCTCGTATCCCTTGTTACCTCTCCATTTCCCCCCCATCCTCTCCTGCCACTCCCCTAGGCAATTATCAATCTAGTTACTGTATCTATGGCTTATTACTTTTTACTGTCTTTTCCAAAAGAGGAACCATGGTTACATGTTGGGCTGCTAACTTTGCAGTTAACCTTGTGGTCAACCGTTTGAAACCACCAGCTGCTCCATGGGAGAAAAATGGGGCTTTCTACTCCCATAAAGAGCTACATCTTGGAAATTCACCGGGGCAGGTCTATCCTGGCCTATGAGTTGACATCGACTTGTTGGTAGCAAGTTTGGCTTTTGTTTGGTCTTTTCCAATAAGATTTAGAATATCTGAGAGGAACTTGCTTATTTAAAAAAATTAACACATTTGCCCCCACTCATTTTTCTTCATTAGAAATGAACATGAAGGAATTCCAGCAAATCTGATCCAGCAGTTGGATGTTTGTGTAGAAATTCCTCAACGGGGCATCATCCGCTCACTTAATGTCCATGTGAGTGGAGCTCTACTGATCTGGGAATACACAAGACAGCAGATGCTCAAGGACTGAGATGAAAGTTCATGCCATATTGGTGATGAAATTTTCGTGCTGCTGTTGGACTTTTCTTTTTGTTGCTTTTCCTTCAAACTATTTGGAATAATGAAATAATTTTTATCTTTTTTTCTTACAATTTAATGCCAATTTTTTTCATGTGCCTTAAATATATTACTATATTGCATCCCAAATGAACACTTTTTGTTGTTATTTTTTCTTCTTTATTAAACTATTTTAATCAATCATATAAAGAAAATAATATATTTTAAAAGATCACTTCTTTCCTCTAAACTAGTATAAAGGTATGGGCTGTGATGGGGGGGGGCAGAATTAAAACAGCTGTTATCTATAAATGCTCAAACCTTTAAGTCACAATGAAGTTTGGTACAATTGAGGTAAAACTAAAGGTTTGGAATAAAGGAGTCATCAGACTGTTCAACCATAATTATTCCGACTAATTTCTTAAAAGTTTTTCACATACATGAGGAGGTATTGCTATGAGGGTTCCAGATTTTCAAAGCAAAATATATTTAGCACACCTCTGGGATCAGTGGATGGCTGCAGAAAAGTTCTCTCAGTAATATACTTGTCTTAGTCGCATTAGGGTACCTTCAAAAAAAGGATTCTTTTTGTGCCATGAAAAATTATTTTGAAGTCAAGACTAATACCAAAATTTCACTAAAATTCAAATGGACATCTTCTCTAGTCATTGAAGTTTTGCAAAAAGTTTATAGGAATGCTATCCCACATAAAAGAAACATTTAAATGGAACACATTTTTTAAGGGAAGACTTCAAAGATGAGCTCAGACAGGAAAGACCATCAACCTGGACAAATGAAGAAATTGTGGATGAAATCCAGAAACTAGTGAAAGAAGACTATAAAAATATCATTGATCTTATCAGCTACTAATGTTTGGGCATTTGGGCATTTTCAATTTTAAGCGAACATCTTGGCCTAGCAAACTTTCAACTCGAGATGCTAAAAGCATTGTACAAAGATCACCTAGCTCAAAAATCTGATCTTACCATCCATCCTTTAAGCAAGAGCAAAGTTAATGACAATTTAATGGAACAAATTGTTACCCGAGAGAGGGACAAGTCTTGGGTATACCAATATGACCCAAAGAACATATATATATATATCTACGAAGTCCTAAAGAAATTGAAAACTGCAAAAGTGAGAAAAAGGCCAGGAGGAAGGAACGTCACCAGCATCAGTATAAGTATTTCACGTCTTACGACACTGAGGTCAGATAGCCATCACCTTCAACCCTTCTTACCAATTCTCACACCAACTAGAGTACCCATGTCACTTTACTTCTGTGGCTGGGTTCAATAATTCATCGCAATTGCAGAACTCAAGATGTTCACGATTATGGAATTTATTAGGGAAGTAACAGATTACAATGAGAAATATTCAGGATACAGTTGTTCAGTCAGAAAAGTTTCTACTTTGCCATGCCCATAAGCAGACCTGTCTGACCCTCAGCTTCTTGACCTGGTCTCTGCCCTGCTCAGGCAAAGTTATAAAGAGCTGTTCATAGATGCTAAAAGTCATACCACACCACTGTAAGCTCCAACCCAAAGTCACTCAGTACCAGCTCTGTGGGTCAGAAAATCTAGCTCCCCCAACTAAGTGCCCAAAGGCACCACACTCTGCAAGCCAGCCTTTTGCCCCCAAACACTCAGCTTTATTTGCTTTGTGGACCGAGTAGCCCTATTATCTGACACTACATTCTGCTGTTGCTACTCCTCTGATGTCAAAGCTGTCTTCTGGATCATGGGGGTTCAGTGCACACAGATCTCAGTCCAAAGCATGTGCTCCACTCATGGCTCTTCTTGGTTGCTGGTAATGAGATTTCCCCTCCTGGTTCTGAAATGCCTCATTTAATACCTGGCAGGATGGCATTCACAATTCTGTTAACTATCACAACTGAATCACATACATCATCAGTCATGTGCATCTTATTTAGACTCATTAGGAAAATATTTTTTTGTTGGGAGTAACAGAAGTTATGACTAAAATAACTATTAAATAATTCACTACATTGCACCTCCTCAGTTTTATTGGCTTATAATTCACATATTGTGCTAGTCCAGGTAGACTAGAGAAACAAATCCTGGGAGATTCATAAGTATATAAGAAAAATCTATTGCTCACCTTCCGGACACAATCACTGAAGACAAAGAGGGTACATAAGCAAACGTCAACAAAGTAGATGGTGCCCAGCTATCAAAAGATAATAGCGTCTGGGGTCTTAAATGCTTGAAGATAAACAAGCAGCTATCTGAGAAGCAACAAAGCCCACATAGAAGAAGCACACCAGCTTGTGTGATCATAGGTGTTGATGGGATCAGGTATCAGACATCAAAGAATAAAAAATCCTATCACTGAATGAGGGGGAGTGCAGAGTGGCAACCCAAAGCACATCTATAGGCAACTGGATATCCCCAAACAGAAGAGTCGTAGGGAGGAGATGAGCCAGTCAGGGGGCATTGTAGCAACAATGAAACATAACAAATTTCCTCTAGTTCTTAAATGCGTCCTCTCCCCCACTATCATAATCCCAATTCTACATTACAAATCTGGCTAGACCAGAGCATGTACACTGGTACAGATAGGAAATGGAAACACACGGAATCTAGGACAGATGAACCCCTAAGGACCAGTGGGGAGATTGATAATACCGGGAAGGGTGGAAGGAAGGTGGAGTAGAAAGAACTGATTACAAGGATCTACATATAACCCACTCCCTGGGGGTGGACAACAGGAAAGTGGGTGAAGGGAGATGTCGGGCAGTGTAAGACATGAAAAAATAACAAATCATCAATGGTTCATGAGGGAGGGAAGGGTAAAAATGAGCTGATACCAAAGGCCCAAGTAGAAAGCATATGTTTTGAGAATGATGAGGGAAGCAAATGTTCTTGGCACAATAGATGTATGTATGGATTGTGATAAGAATTGTATGAGCCCCAAATAAAATGATATGTAAAAAAAAAGATCAAGTCCATAAGTCTGGTATTGGTCCATATGTCTGATAACAATCTATAAAGTCCTCTTCAGACTGAACGCAACACATGCAATGACACCAAATGCAGGGAGATGACAGGCCAGTGGGTGGACGTCTTGTGGATCCAGTGGTGATGCAAGCATCTCAGCACTGGCAGGGGTCTCCCACATGACTCCTCCAGCTCAGGGCACTAGCGTAGTTCCATGTGTCTTGTCAGCTGCAATGTATCCCAGGGAGTGTGTGTCCCACCTCCAGCGAGCTATTTATCTCCTTAGCATCTCCAAATGAGGCCATCAAGCTGCGACCTGACTGGCTAAACTCCACCCCTTCACTGGTAAGTCTCAAATTGACAACAGATTATGTAACAACCACACATAAAATTTAATAGTTTGATCATATCAAGAAGAGTTGTACAAACATCACAGTTTTAAAAACATTTTCTTTATTCTTGTACTCATCGTTGTTAGCTACCCATTTCTCCCCAACCCTCCCTACAATACCCTCAAGGAACCATTAATCCTATTAATCCTGTTACTGCCTCTGGATTTACCTATCCTCAATCTCACATACCAAAAAAAAATTTTAAAAACAAGAACTAAGAAGGATAAAAAAGTAAAACAGTTAAAAACTTCCACTGAAAAGCAAAAAATATTAAAAACTAGAACAAATGTAAAGATCATAAAGAAGATCAAGTGATAGGGTGCTAAATTTTAGCCTAACTGCATTTGCAACAGTCCACTTTCCAATGCAGTCTGCATGATAGCAAGGCTGTTCACATCCTTGGTCCACAGTAAGGATTCACCAGGGTCTTAATCCATGTGCATTTCCCCTTCAATTAAAAAAAAAAAAAAACTTAAACAGCTTTAAAATGGGTTAAAGAGAAATCAACTGATAGGATATTGCATTTTGATCTGACTATACCATAATTGACTTTACAATGCTCTCTGATAACAGGGTTATTTACATCCCTGAACTATGATGGGAGAGGGGGATGGACGCTGCAAATGGATTTTGGGCTTCCATTGTCATCCACAGCCTTCTGTAAAGCAGGTGTTCACAATTAAACTCATACTACTACTGCTCTAAATTTGGATTATATAATTTACAATCCTTGGATCACACAGGTTGGTGTACTTCCATTAGACTCACTATGGACAGATCACTGGACTGAAAATTAGTAACAGAAGCAAATAAACCTGAGCATCATACAGAACAACACCCCCAAAAAGTAAATAGCAAAAAAACACAAAAATGAAAATCCAACAAAATTTCAGTAAAAAATTTGTATATATAACTAACACTGAATGTTAATGAATTAAATGCACAAATCACAAGACAGATGCATACTGGATAAGAAACAAGAGCCATCTATATGCTACCTACAAGAGACACCTCAAACTCAAAGACAAAAATAGACTAAAAATCAAAAAATGGAGAAAGTTTTACCAAGCCAATGGTAGCCATAAAAAAACATATAGCAATATTCATCTCTGACAGAACAGTCTTCAAGATAATAATATAATGAGCGACAATGAACACCACCAATGATTAAAGGAACAACAGAACAAGAAGGTATAACCATAGTAACAACATCAGCCCCAATGAAAGACTCTCAAAATACATCAATCAAACCCTCATAGGCTTGAAAAGAAAAACAGATACCAAAATTAGATTTCAAGACACCATTTTCAAGGAAAGACCGATCATAAGGAAAGAAGCTTAGTAAAGAAACAGAAGAACTAAATAACAAACAGCTTGACTTCCTAGACATACAGAGCATGCTCCACTGGAAAACATCACAGTATACATTCTCCAGCTCACATGGCATATATTCTACAATAGATCACATGTTAGGCCACAAGGCAAGCCTCAACATTCAAAAACATTGAGACCCTACAACCCATTTTCTCAAATCACAACACTATAAAACTATAAATCAGCAACAAAACAAGAATATAAAGCCAAACACAAGGAGGCTGAACTACATACTACTCAAAGACTGGTAAAAAGATCAAATAAGGGATGAACTTAAATTCCTTGAACAAACTAAAATAGTAACACAATATACCAAAACCTTTGATCACAGTAAAATATATAGTAATTTATAACAATCCATACACATATTTTTAAAAAGG